GACATATGACGGTCTTGTAAATACGAACCCTTGTTATCCTGCAAGTTTCGATGTCAACACATTGTGCAGGGCTGCTAAGTACCTTGGGGCATTCTGGACGCGAATGTTGATTTCGTCGTACTTAAATTTGTTCACCCCTTTATAGGAGGTGTCATTGGCTATAAGGTTCTTTCTCTTAGTCTTGGCGCTCTTGAATCTTCTCATGTGGAGGTACTCTGTCTTGTCATGGGTTACCGTGGGACTTACTTTTCTTCCTTCTTCCTCCGGTGTACTGGCCATTGCTCTCACGTCTGCAGCACTTCTACCTATTAGGGCCAGGCCGTCGGCATAACCTATTATTTTATGCGTTCCGTTTAACTCCACACCATCAACGAACTTTTTGGACCTTGTATTTGAGCATCAAGTTAAACAACATAGGTGATAGCGCGTCTCCTTGTTTGAGCCCTGTGTCCACTTCAAAAGCATCCGAGAGACAAGAAGACAGTACTTTGTAGGCAGTCAGGAGTAGCGCTATAGGTACCATTATAGTTGGAGAATTTATTTCAAGAGCTTCTTTTGTGAATTGGGTAGATAACTCCCATATTCCACTCTTTTGGCAGTTGTTCTTCCTTCTAGAGTATCAATATTCTCATTTGCGACTGTAGTGCTCCTCTGCCATATTTCCACAGTTCTACCGGCATGTCGTCAATCCCTGGACATTTGTTGTTCTTCAGGTGCATAATAGCTTTCCGCTTCACATATATCTCGCTAATTTAGACTGAAAACTACCAGCAAGCAATTTAGCAGGGCCTTAAAATATTTGTACCGTTCAGTTTTCAGCTTCTCCGGGTCAGAAACGAGATTTCCTTCGTCATTTTCAAGAAACTGAGCGACGGGCTGGTATCTTTTCTTGACCAATCTTATTTCCTGATAAAATTTACGAATTTCACTTGATCTAATTGGTGTCTTTATTTCTCCAACTTTGCGTTCTAGGAAGTGTCCTTTTGCATTTCTTATTGTATTCTTGCATCTTGTGTGCAATTTATCGTATTTATCCTGCCACTCTTTATCTTGTTCCGCTAGGATTTTGTGATTTCTTCTACATCTATTTCGCATCATTGTGTCCACCATTTTCTCTTTCAGTGTAGTTTCTTTCACCCTAAGATCTTAAGTCTCACCTCTTTAGTGTGTCTCGCTCGGATTCGCAAATTTCCCGGCCTTTTCAATGCATTTTTAGACCTCCAAACCCTCTAACCTGTATCGGAGTTCCTGTCGGAAGACCTAGATTTCGCTGGACTGACGGAATTCTGAAGGACCTACACTCCAAAAGCCTGATTGGAAGCAAACTGCGCAGAACAGGGAAGTGTGGCGTGCAGTTGCATCGGAGGCCAAGATCCACTTCGGGTCGCTGAACCAGCGGAGTAAGTAAGTATTATTTTAGTTTCTATAACCCGACAAAAAATAGCTTTTAAAGTTTTTAAATTTTTGTAACCATGCTATGTACCTGGTTGTGCTTTAGAAGAATAATGCAGAACAATTAATTACCTTTCATTTGACACCACACACGTGCATATACAACAAATAGAAGTGGCGCGGAAAGAGACAGCGTTGTACTCAAATCAGTGTAACTTAAGGTCTCTTTATTCGAACAATAAAGTTCTTTTAGATTTTTTTAGCTATTGCATTGAGCGTTACTTTTCTTCTATGTCACTTTTGTTAAAAATGAATATTTTGAATTCTATAGCCATACAAATAAACTATTTACTGTTTTTTTTTTACATAAAGTCTTTTAATTTCAAAATCATGCTATGTACCTGGTCGTAGTTCAAGACAAATATGTAGAACAATTAATTAGCTTTCATTTGATACCATGCACATGACAATGCAACTTATAGTTTTCAAACAATTTGCAGTTTTCTAAATGCGGCGGCCGCCATCTTGATGACGTCATTTCTGCGGGAGACAGGCCCTCATCAGCTTGTCTCCCGGCGGTTTTCTAGAGCTTATGTCATGTTTATAGACATATTAAAATTTGGTACCGGTATGACGATCCGAAGTATTAATCGGCTAACTAACGGGACTATAGGCCTACTTAAATCTAATTCAACTACTTATACACAAATCATAAAACAGCCCGCCCCTAGTAGTAATGTATAGACAGTCTTTCCAGCTTATTTTAATCCTTTACCTAGAATAACTTTATGAAAACAAAAAAGGAAATTTTATAAATTGACATTACCTTTAATAGCTCAATACCTTTTCAATTACATAAAAAGTAATCGGTATCATAAGGTAACTCATTCCTAAATGATGATAATATGTTTAATACACTGTTAATCGCGTATTGCCACACTTTCCACTCTAGTAAATGAACGATATTCAGTACAACAATGAATATTTTAAATGCTTGGCCTTAAATCGCTAAAATAGTAATGTTACTGACTAAATTATAGTTTTTTCGGTAATTGACTACTTTTGGTCCTGGGCCTGGGTTCAATTCCCGACCAGGAAAGTAGAGAAATTAAAATATCTTTTCGTAAGTCTGAAGCCTAAAGTTGTGCTAAAGTGTTCTTTCTAAGTGTTCCTTTGTAGGTAATGTTTTTGCACTCCAAACCTTAATCCTAAACGAATAGGTTTATCAAAGTACGACAATTTCGTTCTTTATCGAAATATCAAGGCAGTAGACGAAGTAGGTACATACACACAGACAGATGAACATTAGAGAGGCACCGCTGAAAATTCTACATACCTAATACCTATTATGTGGCCTGGCTTCTTAAGAAATGTGAGGTACAAATCTAAATTCTACAGTTTTTGAACCGCTGATGCAAAACTAGTGAAATCTTTCGCAATCACAAAAACTTGACAACAAAACCGACGACAAAAAGTAAAAACAAAACCCGAGTAAACCACGTGCTTTACTAAAACAAAACACTGTAATGCTCGTTACGGTACAATAGGTGCACAAATCGTGAAATAAAGTGTTTTGCAGAAGGCACACTTGCACCATTCTTTCACCTATCTACCTAAATTTTCGCGTTGCTATATACGACAAGAAGAAAACTTAGTACTTTGCCTCTGATGTACCTAGTTGTGTGAGGACCGCCATCTAGGTAATCACGACAGCAACTAAGATCGATTATGGGAATTCAAGAGGATTTTCTGGCCTGCGATGTCCTAGCCTAGTTCTAACAAAACTGGGAAGCGAATTTTTTTTTTTACGAAATATGAACTTTGTTGAATCTCGGTAAGAATCGAACTGAGGTCTTACGGATCCTGAGGATAATGCCACAGTACTAGACGAGAAGGCAGTTATTACTTATAAACACGAAAGTAAGTTGTAGGTAAAAATTGCCGGCTCATTCTATTTTTACCTGAGGAAAAAAAGTCTCGTAAAAGGGAGCCAATCCGCCCGGTGGGGAGAAGCCAATGTCAAGCAGTGAACTGTTGTGATGCTTGTGACTATAGATGTAGGAATTTTTCGATGTTGAGTCATCTGAATAGATGCGTTACATGCCCTGCTGTAGCTATACACAATTTGCGTAGCTACGAAGTGATCCAGAGCCTACCGGATCCTGAGACCACGCTCAGATCACTGAATCACGTAGGCATGAAGTAAGACGCGCCTCTCGTGCCTCATGCTGTAGGTGCGTAATTTCTAGTGATGGGCCGAACATAGGTTTCACCGAATACTTCGGTTCGGCCGAATATTCGGTAAAAAGATTGCCGAACCGAATATTCGGCCGAATAATTCGGCAGAAATCGAGGTCCATATAAAATAATTAGGAGCATCACTTGTTTACGACTGTCCCGATGGCGTAGTGGATAGTACCCCTGCCTTCTACCCCGAGGGTCGTGGGTTCGATTCCCACCAGACACAAATGTTTGTTAAGTCAATTTTCAAATATTTGTGTTTAGTCTGGGTGTTTTCTATGTATAATATGTATTTATTTACAAAAAAAGTGTATAGGTATTATATCAGTTGTCTAGTTTCCATAGTACAAGCTTTGCTTAGTTTGGGACTAGGTGGCGCTGTGTGTATCGTCCAGGGATATTTATTTATTATTTATAATTATGCGCTGATTCGCTTCAAACCACTCCGCTCTTTACCTCTCTAACATTTTGCATTGGAAACTTTGTCAACAAATTAAAATAAAACTGCATCATTGCTTGTCTTGAAGTCTTGACATACCAATATGCAATGCAATACAATATACAAAGGATGCGTTTTTATTCGGCCAAATATTCGGCAAAATTCACCGAACATTCGGCCGAAACCGAATATTCGGTAAACGTGCCGAACATGCCGAATACCGAACATAAACCGAATATTCGGCCCATCTCTAGTAATTTCTGTAACTACGAATACGAAGTGAGCCTTCTGTCAGGGCGCACCGCCGCGCTACAGTATGCGCGCAAATGGAGCGAGGAAGCGCATGCGCATTGCTTTCACTGCTACCGGCGGTCTCCGAACCTGTTCTCCCGAGAATCGAACCAGAGCCTACCGGATCTTGAGACTAACGCTCAGACCACTGAATCACGTAGGCATGATTCATCGTCTTTGGCCAAGGCGCGTCTTACTTTATGCCGCATGAAGTAAGACGCGCCTCACGCTCCTCATGCTGTAGGTACGTAATTTTTGTAACTACGAAGTAACCCATCTGTGAGGGCGCACCGCCGCGCTACAGTATGCGCGCAAATGGAGCGAGGAAGCGCACGCGCATTGCTTTCACTGCTACCGGCGATCTTCGAGTAAAAGTCATTGGCGGGAAATAGCAGCATCTCACTTTCGCAGCCGGAAGAATTTTTCTGATGGCGTTTTAACGCTTCCGTAAACTTAAGTGAACTAGATACTTTGGACCTTACCTACCATAAAAAAGTTGGACGCGTGTCTAGCGTTTTTTTTGTATGAAATTTTAATTTCAATAGCATCACCCCATTTCCTTCCCGCGGGTGTCGTAAGAAACGACTAAGGGACTCGAGGGTTTCATGTCTTTTTTTTGGAAAACTTGCAAAATTTTCACCGCAGGCAGGATTTGAACCTGCTACCTTCGGCATCAGTAGGTACTGCCGACGCGACGCCCTAACCACCTGGGCTACCGCGGTTTCATGTCTGTTACAAATTAAAATTTAAGGCGACCGGCTGACAACCTGTTACTATAGTGATACACAAAAAATATTCTAAAAAATCCCTCAAATTCAAATAGGTATTTGTCAAACATGGCAAAAGCGACCGTATTTATACCATAGAAATACGAGCGTAGAGATTCTACGTTAATCAACACTCTACCTACCCCGCAAGAGATAAAGGCATGGTCTTTGTAGGTAAGTATGTTTAATATATTATGGATGCGACGATGCTATCAAAAGGGTAAGTAGAAGCCTCATATTATACTAATTGAGCAATCTCAAAGAAGCATCTAGTCTGTTACTGAGATAATGCTGAATGTAATAAGAATATAATAGGAAGAAAAGAGATAATAATAGTGAGAATATAAAGAGAATAAAAGAGATGGTAATAGTAGTTGCTTCCGTCATCTTGCTTCCTATACATCATTAGGTTACGGCACAGACATTGTAAGCGATAGAAATGTTATGTTATATTATATGAATTTTCATCATCATCTTCATGCCCTTATCCCAAATCAAATGGAGTCAACGCAACATGTTTTGTTAGAACACAAAGTAGCGAAAGGATTTGGCTGTGCTCTTCGCTAGTAGCATTCCGACAAGCTTTTAGTTATATCATACAGGGTTACCTATTTTTTAGTCAGTGCGCAAACTTTGCAGGATGTTTCTACTCGTGATTCTGAACAACTTTTACTATGGGGCCACCTGAGAAATCAAAAAAACAATTTTGGGAGTGCCATACATTTTTGCCGAGTAGGTAAGAATTTTTCTATGGAACATCCAAATTTTATTTGCGAATTCGCAGGTGGCCCCATTGTAAAAGTTGTTCAGAATCACGAGTAGAAACACCCTGCAAAGTTTGCGCACTGACTAAAAAATAAACCCGTACAAATCAAGAAGTAATAGGCATTAAAAGTTATAAGTTAAAATTTTAAAGGAAATAGAATATTTTAATAAGTAATGTAATGAAATAGACAAATAAAAGCTATTTTTAAATGTTTTTTACTTATAATTTATTTAGAATTAAAAACGCGTCAACACTACGTACCTACAGCTTATATTTTTTCTACACGTTTCATAACACAAGTACCAACTACCTTATAGAGGTATTAGCGACACCTCAATAAACCCAGGATAATAGTTAGTGACAAGGCCCAAAGGTGACAGATCAAAGTCATAATACCTATTTACATTAATGTTCTTAGAAGAATAACATATTACCTACCATCAACTTTTTTTTACTTACTGACGCGCGTTAGGAACCATTGTAATATTTTTTTTACAAATATATTTACAGAGGATTGCTATTACAGGAAGAATTAGTAATTTTATGAACAAGGTTGGTTGTAATGTAAATTTGCGAATAGTACATACAGAAAAACATATATAACAATGCCAGTACCTACACTTGTCGAATAGTCCCCCTTTGGCAAATAGAATCGTAAGTGTAGCTCGTTCAGATAGAAATATAATCTTGCGCTGGGCCTCGGTGCATGCGGGAAAGTATAAATGAATGCCGGCCGGCCGCCATTTAATAGTAGTTTATGCAACTGCCTAATAATGAGAGGCTTTAGGATGAGAGTGTCTAGTTTGACACGAGCATTCTAAAGCCTAATTATTTGCAGTTGCATACACTATTTTATCTACACTCTACAAGAAAAACTATGAAAAATAATTCAAACCTCCGCACTGCACTATGGCGATTGCAAGCCTATCTACTGAACCACCAACTGAACGACTTTTGTACATAAGTAACTTGTTAACTAAACGTTAAAATGGAGGCTCATAAAAACTGAACAACTTTTAAAATTAAATAGCATTTATAGGTGAATTTTAATTTGAAAAATGATTTGAAGCAAAGATTTTTAATAATAAAAGTCCTCATAATTTCAAGTGTCGTCCCGCCGCGGGTGACACTTGTTTTTTTTTTCATTCGACTTACTGATGGCCAGTGTCAAATTGGAACAGATTACAATTTGGTATGCGGGTCAATTCGTTTAATTTTTTTTCAAATACTAGGAATCGAGTTACTTTATGTAGCTGCCAGTAGTATGAAAGTTTTTTTTAAAAGGCTGTATATTCGTAATGCAGTTCATTACGTTCGTACTTTCGATTCTGTAAAACGAATATTACGAACTGAGTGTAGATAAAGATCCTTTACCTGCATGGCTTATAAAAAGTGTATTACTTAAGTAACGTGAGTCCTAGTGACTGCAGTAAAGTTTCGACACGTGACCGGACATGTGCAAGCGAAGGAAACCTGCCCGAGGACGGGGTCGCTCGGTCGGTCAGTTACTACTAGTGTTGTCTACAAGTCGACAGATTTCTATCGATAGTACATGTATGTAATGAACCGTTGCAGGCCCACTCCTGTAGGTATACGCATAATACGCGCGCATCGTAGACAGACAGCCACAACTCGCGCTTGAGAAACTTCAGACGTGTCAAATTATCTGGATTTTCTGGAATTGCATGGATTTTACCAAAGCAAGTGAACAATTTTGACATAGAGGTCTAAGAAAATCTCGTGCCGCTTGCTAACCGGCATGCGGCATGGTGTCGTATCTCTCAATACGAGAGACGTAATTTCCTAGCATGCTGGCACTTTGGTTGCAGTCGGCCCAACATTGCGGTTTATTGAGGCGCCTGGGGGATGCGTATATTTTTATATTTATTTAACTTTATGGAAAATTGTACATGTTCATACTTAATGCCAAGGGCATTATCTACTAGTCTATATCTAGCAGTGCACCTGTTATCACGGTGACTAGTGATCATGTTTGATGCTTTTACTTCAATAAAATAATGAAATTAAAGAAGACGATCGGCCTTTATTTATGTAGATGGAATCTGTGGGTCTTTAATAATAACCTTTATTAACGTGTCTTAAATTGTCGATATCGATAATCAACTTAACTGATGTTGCTACATTATGTTCTCTCTTTTTCGCTCCATTGCATTTTATATACCTATTTTGTGAATTTTCCGATCCCGTCTTTATAAATTTTATTTGCGAAATCAGGGCAGAAACTCAAGAAGAACGTTTTTATTAGATCTTTATGTAGTTTTTTTACAGTTTAGCCATTTTAAAACAACATGGTACTTAACGCTGTAATAGGCAGGTACCTATCGATCACGCTGTGCCTATTTAATAAGGATAATTTTATTTTGTTTTATTTTTTTCTAATATAGATCTGATAACTGTCATATTATTTGATTTACTAGGTACTTAGAAAGTTGAAGTCACGTTTTCAGATTTACTTCCACAGACTAGATTTAGAACTTACTTAATAAATCAAATAACGTATTTCCATTCTCTACGGTTTACTAAATTCCAAGTTTAAATCGACCAATTACATTGCAAGAACCGCCTAAAACCGGTTTTTTCTAGAACAATGCGGTCCAAATGAGACCTCGCGTTATATTAATAAAACTTCATGTAAGGTTATGTAATGCAACTGAATTAAGTATGTATGTATGTATCTTTCATAACGCGAACCAAATATGTATCCTTGTATTAATGTAGTATGATCTGTGTCAGTAGGTAACGTGGTTCTTATACTGAGAACTATATGATTGTTGTTGATTAAACTGATGCCTTTTCGGTCGCAAATTAAACGTGTAAAATATTTGCTGAACACATTTTAAGGGGTTAACCAGCTCATGAAACAGAACCACTAATCCCAAAGATCATAGAAATAAGAATAAGGCCCTCCGGAAATTTTCCGCGAAAATGGTAGGTACCAAGAGATTTTGTCAAATGAGTTTGACAGGCCGGTTTTTATATTTGTTATTATACAAAATGGCATGACATTGATTCAGCTAGATAGAAGAGGAATAAGAACTAAACTGAATTGAGACTGTTCGATGTCGGTTGTCATTGCTCGATACAGCATCTATAGACAAATTGTCAAAATCGGTTGTCGGTTGAAAAACTCTGACACCAGGGTTCATCGGGTCGTTGAACGACTCGGTGTCCCACACGAAAAGAGAGTCAAAATAATCGTAGCAAGGAACAAAAAATCCAATGACGTGAAATATTCTCTATAGAAATTACTTGTCAAACTCTATTTGACATCTCGACAGGACCAATTCCGCAGGCCTTTCGTTCGTGTTGCGTCCCAAGTCTTGGGACGCAACACGAACGAAAGGCCTGCGGAATTGATTTCCATACAAAACAAGCGGGCGGAAAGCTGTCGTAATTAACCATTTTTCTAGCCCAGATTTGGGATAAGGGCAGGGAAATGATGATATACCGGGAGTAACAGAAAGGGTATAACAACCCGAAAGTACTCATGAAACTGAACAACTTTTCCTATACAACATGTATCGAAAAATGAAAAAAATATTTGGTCCTCCCATACAAAATTGCCGATCAGCTTATTGATTTACTATGGGAGCTCCAAATTTTTTTTTCATATTTCGACCCATCTTCCATAGGGAAAGTTGTTCAGTTTCATGAGTAACTTACCTTGACCTACTTTCGGCTTGTTGTACCCTTTCTGTTACACCCTGTACTTTATACTTTCTTTAGTAATAATACACAACAACAAAGAATCTTCACTAACGTGATACTAAATTCAAATTTCACGATAAGAAATAATCTTTCATACAAACATGCTTAAGCTGACTCATACGTCTGAGGCACGTTTTTGAAATCGCTGACGGCGGCAAAACTATTGTATGACTTCGATCAATGTAAAAGTCTTTGTTTATGTGAAATAAGTTTGCAATACGAGTATTACGAAGTAGAGATTATTCTCTATTACATGTGACTGAAAAAATTAGCAATTTAGAGTAGCGCTGTGACTTTTCGTAAAATAGGTTTAGAAAAGGATAGCAAATGGTTTCAATATTTTCTATGATTTTATGCATTGTCTGTCAAAATTAAGCGTTTATCAAAAAGATGTCAGCTAAGCTTATAAGAAAATATATGAAATTTCGAAGAAACCATAGACATTTTAAACAAGACATGT